GCTTATTCTACTGAGCTGTCTCCCTGGCCCCTCAAGCTATGCTATTTGAACAAATTTGAAAATCTCTGGTTAGAGGCCTCCTGTTTACTATATGTACATGCACACACTTCACCCAACACTCCATGATCCTGCTAACCCTGAGAGAAAGAAATATGTTCTCATGTTGCCAGCCCTGTAGCCCTATTGGTTTTCCTCACAGTCTCAGACTTTTGGGGCCATGGGATCTGGGATCCTTGGTGAACTGGCTCACATATGCCACCTGTCAGCCAAAGCCCAAAGTAAAATATTTACTTGTTTATTTTGTGTATGTGTGGCCAGCTCAGCCCACCAGGGGGCAGGGGCTGGCTGGCATGTAGTGCTGGGGGATTGAACTGTGGTCCCTGTGCTTTGCTTAGTTTAGCTTGTTCTAAGTAGGTGCTTTAGACCACTGAGCCATCTTACCAGCCCAACACAGGCTTCATCTTAAGGGACCCAGGAAGGCTTGTACTTGCCAAGGCTTAGAGTTCCAATAGCCCAGCTGCGCCTCCTGCTTCCTTATCTGTGTGTCTATGTGCTTCTCTCTGTTCTCTGCTGCCTCCTTCTGGAACAGTGCCTGACACATGGCAAGGGATTGGTAAATACCCGACAGGAGAAGACGGAGAAAGACCTGTGGAGGTGACGGTCTTTTTGGCTTCCTAACTGGGTGACACAGGGAAAACCACTTTCTTCAGGCCTCAATGTCCTGTTCTGGCCTCTTAGCACTGCTCTGTGGTGCTAAAACATCACAAAGGAACATAGTAAACCTGGAACTGGACAGGTGCTGTGAGTTAGAAATGAGCAGGGCCTTGTCAGAACCGGCTTCCTGAAGGAGGAAACATGAGCTGGCATGGAGGGAGAGGGTATGAGGGTGCCCAGAGGAGCTGAGGGGGATTTCACGCAGAGGGAATGGAACTGCAAAGTGCCCATCCTTCTTCCCAGGCAGATCACACCTGTTCTGAAGTTGATACTTTACATTCCTGTTGTGGTCCTCATTTAAGGGAAACGGAGAGGATTAAGGCACAGAGGGAGGGCCACTGAGCCAGACCCAACCAGTTCAGTTCCTTCCATCCTAGCACTGACCCTTCTAGGAAGGCACTGGCGGAGG